ACCCAACACTTAACAATAGGAGCCAAATGGCTGGCTCACTGCTGCCACCTAGTGGTCAAGAGGCTGAACTACAACACAAAATGAACGGCTGGCAGGAAAGTTGACATTTTAAACTTTAATAAAAAATTGATACAGGGCTTTAGAATATCAATACAGTATCGGGAAATGAAATATCGCGATATTTCAGTGTATCGATATTTTCTTACACCCCTAACGTTCAGTTTTCTCTTGTTTTCTGATGTTATCTGAACTATTATGTCTCAGTATTACTGTATACTACAGTTAGGTGGTCTTCATTCTCCTCTGGGTCAGACTCTGGCTTCAACATGTAAGGCTGGTTCAATTCAATTCAAATTCAAAAATACTTTATTGATCCCAGAGGGAAATTAGGTAAGACAAGGTTTGGTTAGACAAGTCTTCCCTCGTTGACATCTTTTAATTCATTTGTAAATATTCTGCGCTGCTATATAGTCGTAAACCAGTCTATCAAACTAAAATAGATAGGTCTGGAAGCTGGATTTAAAGAGACAGCCTCAAAATGAGTTGATCTGAGACACACCTCAGACAAGTGGTGAACGAGGGGCTTGTGGACTTACAATAAGTAGGAATTCAGACTAAAGYATTGCAGTTTCACTTTATATAGACCCCAACCGAATGATTTAATACAAAAAAGAATTTAAAAGCAGGATAGGTCTACTTTAAAATCATTGAAGAAATTTTGTGTACGTCATCACCAAGGAAAAAAAAACCCAAAAAAGACCTAACTTTAAAGGAATAATAGAWGTCAGTTTTTGTGTGTGTGAACCATCCAAGTCTTAAACAGAGCTTGCCAGAAGTAGCGTAGACTTTTCCTTTATTTGTATTTTTTCTGTAACTTATTGTTTTTACATATAAACATGATAACTCTGGTCAGAGAAGTTACTCACTGTTGTTTTGATCTTTTTCCACCCAATTAGGTTAGCARTTTAAAACAAATAAAAAGAAATAACTGTGATTTCACCTACAAACCAATATTTTTTTTTCTAAAGTCGTGGAGCAACGGGGATCAACTTATTCACTTGGATGTTGAGAAGTGTGTGCCRTGAGTTTAAAGAAGTAAAACCAGTTGTGGAGACTTTTAAAAAAAAAAGTGCACATGTTTTTGGGGTTGGGTGTTAATCATGGCTGAATTGCAAAACATGGATTGGCAGCACACCAGCACTGATTGGAGCAGCTTTGTAGGAGGTCRTGCTGCTTCATAACATAAGACTTAGTTAATATAAAATGATCACATTAAGACCCAAAACGCCATTTAAAATCAGCCAAACCTAAACTCTAAAACAAACCTCTTTAAAGCCTGAGGGTGTTTTTGGAAAACTGGTCAAAGCTCAGTAAATGTTCTTTTCCCTAACCTCCAACAGATGTAGAAAAACTTTTTTAAAAACCTTAAACCTCAGGCTTTTATTGCTAATATTTACTGATCCCTCCATTAGTTAGCAACATTTTCCAAAAAAAAAAAAAAAAAAACAATGCCTTTTGTCTTGAAAACAAATGAAAACTTCAGAAATTAGCCCTGAGAACTATAATCTGGTTCAAAGCTTGTTTTCTTTGTTATTAATCCCTTTCAATAAACTAAATAAATTAAATAAGTCAAAAAGTTACTTAGTTTTATTGTTTGATATTTTCACACATTTTTATTGACTACACATTTACATACGATTTTCAGTGCTTCAATTCTAGTGCTGGATGAGCTGTTTGACCATCAACAATMAAACCAAAGGGGAGGTTTTTGTTTGCACCTGTGCAGACAGTCATCCTGGTTGTTWATGCATTGATGTAAGTATTGATTTCAAAAAGACGGGGATGTCGTGTAGACTTTGTGCCAATCTTTTCGCTGCCAAATGTGCCATTATTGGCAGCTGAAAATAGGATATATTTTGTAGATTATTAATCTAACTTTAGCAAATGAACCAGAGTCGCTGTATGAAGGACCCCCAGGAAGAGAGTGTGCATGAAGGAAGAGTTACTCCGATTGTATAAAATTATGTTTGGAGTGTTATAAAAAGATGTTGGCTGAACGACTGCTAAGCTTTGGTATTTTTAGTACTTAGCGGGAATTTTGAGTCAATCTAGAGTCTTTGTGTAAAATAAATGGAGTGTTTTTGTTCTTTATTTAAATGGACCAACTTCATTATTTTGCAGGGGTCTTATTGTCATAATTACATTGATGCTGTCTTCCTGTGCAGATTATATTTAAACATTACTAAATACTGATTCATTGACTCATGAGGGTCTTTATTTGGGTTCCAGATATCTCATGATTGGGTAGTAGACCATATAACTTCATGTGAGATAATTGGAAATATAGTTTGGTTATTATTTGGCTTTCCAAGACTATCATATTTGTTCTTTTAAATAGGGTTTCACCCTTAAATGGCCTTTAAAACAGAGTGAAATCTTCTGAAACATAGTGGATTTTATTTTTAGAAGTAAACCTGATGATCAGTCTGTTTCCCAACATTGGTACACTTTAAATACTTGAGCAGGTGATATTATTTTGTATGTTCTGGTTTTGTTTATCATGATATAAAATAAGATAAGATAAAACTTTATTGATCCCACAGTGGGGAAATTTGCACATTACAGCAGCTCAAAACAGGACAGGGTGAGATTAGAATAAAGAAAGATAAGTAAATCATCGTATATCATTATAGTATATCATCACTCAAGCCCGGATTATTTTCGATTTTAAATTCAGATTACGATNTTTTTTTTTTTACATAATTTTTGTTCTTGTATCAAACTGTAACTCTGTTGTGTTAGTAATACAAAAATGTCACAAATTCTTTTGGGGCCAAAGTTATCAAGTATCAAACTGAATTTGTCTTAAAGCTTAAACATACATTTTATACAATAACAATTCATTTTTATGAATCGATTCACATTTTAAAGAGTTGTCATTGATTATGAAGTGATTAAAACACACTGGTGCTGACCCGGTTTGGTGAATCTGCCTAAAAATCTGTCCTGATTTGTGTTGACTAAAAGATTTTAAACCCATCATTTAGTTCCTCTTTAGTTTTATCAGCTGCTGAGTTTGTCAGAGTCAAGGTGGTACAAATCCAAAGTTATTTCAACTTTTACGAGGAAATCTGTTTTTAAAACTTTTCGAACTGTTTTCCTGTGAAGTAATTTAGGCCACTGGTATCATCCGCCCATCCTTGAAAATGAGGTTATTCTCCACTGTTCACTTGTTTATTTTTTTCTGTGTCACACTGTGCTTGTAGCCTGGAACAGACAAAGCACATTGTTTTACTTCAGAGGAATTTGGAGCATCAGTGAAATATGTGAGAATTATGTTAATTATAGCAAAACATGAACTTGAAATGACTGGAGGGCCGCGTGTGATTGGCCCGGAGCGCTTCTGTTGTCATCCTCCGTGTCTATAGCTCACAGGCCGACAGACATGATGTAAGAAATAGTAATAATGTGATAATGTGTTCKTGTGGAGGAGCAGGAAGTTTACTGGGGCACCGTCATCAGGTCCACAGTAGATTGTGTGTGCGCTGCCAAGGGAGCTTTTGTTTCTTTTACCCACTTTAATTCCTCCTTTTATTTTAATTTTGCTCCTTCCTGTCAAACTAATAAACTAGTTTTTGTTTGTGCTTACTTTGTAATGTTAAAATCTACACAATGTAGAGCTGTGATTGTACTACAAGCTACTGAACAAAACCAGCTTTCCTCACTTTGAGGTGATTCTGGAGGGAAAAATGAGTCCGGTTTGATTGCATATTTTTAATTTGTGCCGTTAATGTTTGTGTGCAGGGAGAACCAATCATGTTCTGTGAAGAGAGTTTCTTGAACCATCGCTCAAGCACCATGAAGAACTTCCTGTCCATGGCCGTCAACCTGCAGCTCTTTAAACAGGTTTGTCTTTTTATCACTCGCCACCAAAGAGGAAAGCTCAAATATTTGTTGTGTGTTTGTTTGGACCAGTAGCAAACTTAAGCTGTGGATGGATTTTACTGAAACTTACATTTAATACCAATAATCTTTGTTTTAGTTCGCCAGTTCTACCAGAGGTGTATAAAGTATTTTAAAAAAAAAAACAACTAAAGGCCCTGTCACACTATAACGTTTTAGACAACTTATGCTAATTTATATTTTTTGTCTAAATTCCTTTTAAAAGTTATATATTTGATCAATTTGTTAGCATTACAGTATGTAAATGCCTAAAAGAGGCTTCCAGTTGGGTTTTTTAAAACTTCATCTACAACATAGATGTCTTAAAATTTTCACATGTTGGCATAAACTGTCTAAAAACATAGTGTGACAAGGCCTTATACCTTAACAAAAACTATAAAGGGTATGAAGTATGTAGTACTTCAGTACTTTAGAATGAAGGTTGCTTTATAAATAAATAAAAAACTGAAAAAAACAACAAAAAAATATTTGGTAAAAATTTATTTCACTGATAAAAAATGTGCTTAGGTCATAAAATGGCTCATAATAATTGTCAAAGTAAAGTATATTTACACATAATCTGAGAAACGAAGTATTCAATTTACTTAACCAAATTATGTCACCTGGCTATACTAAGTCAAGTTTAGTAAATTTTAAATAAATATGTGAAAATGGCTCAGTCTGCTCAACTGAGTTTAGTGGAACAAGGTGACGTAACTTAGTAAATACTAAATTTAGTAATTTAGTAAATTTACGTAGTAAACTTAGTAAAGTTAATTCAACATTTCATTTTTTAGAGTGCATAAACCACTTTTTTCATAATGAATTCTGGTCATGTTTAAATTTGTAGTGTTTGTTAAGATGAAAAATTTTAAAGTAAACTAATTAAGTATCATTTTTACGTTTTGAATGTAATAAAATGAAAGTAAGAGTTACGATTTTAAAATATACTATCCTCTAAATAATTACTAATGTACTGTAATGAATTTAATATACTTCTTTATTATAAATCCCTGAGTACTACCTTACATAATGGAACCAGTAATAAAAAAGGTCCCAACAATATAAAAACTTAAATTTTCTAAATTCCAAACCAAATTCAGACACAAATAATAAAGACATCGTTCAGTCCTCTCATCAT